CGCCTATCATTTTGCCGCACCCTGTATATTATTTAATGTAGCAGAGCAGGAAACCAATAAAGTTGAATAGTTCAAGATCAATTTTTGATGAGAGCTCTGTAAACTGAAATTTTAAATAACCATGAACCATTAACTATTTTTTTTTTTAATAAATAGGGAAAATTTGAGTTTCTCCATTATCTATTTAATCTTCAGTATAAAAGTGGGCATCATGTCTCTTATTCTTTTTTGGTAGTTGTATTTAAAATCTTGATCAGTATACAGAAATCCTTCAAGACAGCAATAAAAATAGTTATTCATTTTTGACTTTTTAATGATTTTACTGTTGCGAAATTACCTCAAGGACTTTATTGTATAATATTTTAAAGATAGTCATTAAAAATGAATTATTACTCAGACGAATAATTATTATTACCCATTATTTTTTGTTATTAATACTATGCACTATTATCTACTAGCATTATTATGTATATGCTAACTTAATATTGGACTGGCCAAATAATTATTTAGGGAGGTTAAGCTATAGCTATATTTTCTATAGATATTTTATTGTTAAATAAATAGGCTAGAGACATTTGTTTTGAAATTTAGTTGAAAACTCATGTTTTTCTATTACCATGAAATTTTCTGTATTTTCTGAAATACTAAAGTTTAATTATATACCAACATGGAACGATTAAATATACAAATAAAGATACTTATATCTGTGTATTTTACTTTTCCATTAAGATAATCATTTCATTTCACTTACAAAAATTAAATTTATACATTATTTACACAGTAATTTCCTCAATTACAGTAGCTGAAAATAATATATGATAACATCATGAAATTCTACTGCAGCATGTTCCACCTATTTTTAAAATTCCATTATTGTAAATATTATAAGATTAGAAAATTAATAACACATTCTAGAGTTTCATCCATGCATTAATATAAACATTTATAAGATGTTTTATAGTATCTAAACTTCATATTGTGTAAACTCAAATCTAATATAAAAAAAAATCTCAAACATGACTTGGTCTAAAACTTTATAGAAAACAATATTTAGTACCTTCATTTTGGTTAATAATAAATTGAATTTTTAAAAAGAGAACATATCATATCTTACAATTTGCATTGAACATTAATAGTTGTTCAAGGTTCATTTATCAAGATAAATATCAAGTGCTGCTATTGTAGAAATATTATTTATAGTTCATTTTTCCACTTGAAAATTAACGTTACCCTGACAATATTATACAATGCCTACCATTTTAACTTATTGTGAAATGAAGGAATAAATATCTTCAAGAATATTGTCACAATTTTTTACAGATATAATATAATAAATTGAAGTGCTAATATTAATTATTAAAAGTATAAAATTATTTACTGTGTTAGATAAATTTAATAGACATTTCAGGCTGAACTGAATATAATAATTTATAGCATAGCTGTGTATATGAAAATTCACTATTATTTTTACTTTAATAGGTACTAAAAATACCTTACTCTATTCGTGATCAATATTACATTATTACAATAGCGATAACAAAACGCGGCTCATGGGCATCAATACGAGAAAGCGTTTCCATTATTTATTACCAATACTTCATACTGCTCATTTCATTAATTCAATAAACATGTTCAGTTTAATTTAATGCATTATTATTTAATTTGATATTCATCAATCCACAAATGATATAAATACTAAGCAGATCATAATATTGTTACCATGCATTAAATTTTTGGTAATTCATAAATAATTTCCTATGCTGTTGCTAAATAATCACAAGCAGGGTTGATAAAAATCATTATTTATTTATGTGCTTAATTTCTTATCTTTTGTATTTTTTAATTTTTTTTTGCATTTGATAATTTACTTAATTGGTATTCTATAGCTTAAAATCAATAAAATTTATTTTTAATGAATAAAGCCAGGTTCGTATAGTCTTGAACTGTGAAATATAAAGCTTGATTTAAGAAGAAAATGTTTGTTTTTCATTTAAAGCAGCAAATCAGAACAATCAGAAATTGTATATAGCAAGTTTTTTTTCATATAACTATGTAAAATTTATAGTTTTTTTTTTCAAGTATTAACAATTATAAGGAACAACAAATTTCAATTTTTTTATAAATTAAGTGTATTTAGTGTGTACAGTTGGTGCCACCCAAATGTGAACGCATTTTGGTTGATATGGAAATTTCATCTGGATTTTACCGTAGTAAATCAGACTTTTTTTAGTGGCGTAACACAGAGAGGGTATTCTTATGGATAAATTCGACATAGGCATTGTCTTCCGGGTCACTGAAAACCTTCCCGACACCTTGCGTGGTAGATCTTTGTAATTATTGTTCTCGCCAGCGTTGTTTAATATAAAATATACAACTCTTACTGACATTTAAATCAGCAGCCACTTCACTCAAAGACCAATTATCTTCTAATTTAGCTATAGCCCTTGCTCTATGCGCTTTAGTTAAATGCTCCGGCATATTTCACGTTACTTGCTTACATTTAATTACGTTTGCTATAAGTGACATAATATATGTATATTTGACAACTATTGAATTTTACGACTATGATTTGAAGTTTAAATTACACGGTACAATATTGCCGTTCACATTTGGGTGTCGCCGACTGTATAATTCAATATACAGGGTGATTCAGTAATAATGTCATTAATTTTAACTACGTATTCGGAAGGCCTAATAAAGACAGAAAATCGAAAAAAAATTTACTTGACTTTTTAAAAAATAAGCAAATTACCCCTCAACTCGCGTTAACTCGGCGCACCATAGGAAACAGCTGATTTCCCAGTCGTCTTACAGTTGGTTTCAAAATCAAGTACGTGCAGCAGATTCTAACTTTACAAACTGTTATGGACGGATGAGTGAATGTATTGTAGCCATACACAATAAGGTATACATACTACAAACTGAATAATTAATTGAACACGATATTAAAAACTGATATTCAATTATAAAACATGGTGAAAACGTAAAACTAAATTACAATAACCTAACATTCGAAAACAATTAGCATCCTTAATACATTTGTTTTAACTAATAAATAAATAATACTTGTTAATATTTAAAATGTAAAAAAATATCCTATTCATTCAGATGTCCAGGTAAAAAAGTCTGTTTTTGTCGTTCACTATTAAAAACACAATAAAAGACAGGTTAGTGACCGAATACAGTAGGTCAAGATTCACTCAGAGGTCAGGAGTGGTACGAAAAGGGGTTTAAATAATGATTTGAATTTTTTTTTTTCAGCATTAATATGCATTTTTGTAGTGGCCGGGTTTGAAATTGCCCCATGATCGGTGGTGGCTTTGGGCACTAGAGCATGTGGTGTGTAAACTGGTATGCTTATAGTTTGTGAAAATAAAAGTGTTTGTGGATCGAGTAACTTCCCTTAAAATTAACGACATTATGACAGAATCACCCTGTATATGAAAAATTTGTTTTTTATCGCAATAAACCCTAAAAAAATAAGTTTCATGTTTAAAGACTGTAAGAAAGTAATGCTAAATTATACAACTGTCATATCCAATCAATGAACAAGAACAAACTATTGTTATTAAATCAAAACAGTGTGAGTGACACGAGTTTGTATGGAACATCAATATTTCTGTGAAATCACAAAAATAGCGTTTTTACGAAATTTTGTTGTTTATATAAGAGCGAAGTATTACTGAAAAATTTTAGGGGAGCTTTTCATACATTTTTATTTTATCATAACTAATTATATGTTAGTTCTGAGTTATGTCACTAATCAACAAAATTTGTAAAAAAATTAAACTTCAGAATCTTTGCATTATTATTATTATTATTATTATTATTATTATTATTTAACCAGTTCTCTCTAGTGAGAAATTTTATTAGTGGGAGTTATTTTAATTGTAATGTTAATCAAATAACTGAAAAGTGTAATTCTACTACTTACAGCAAAAAGTTGCTTGGATCATTAAATTGCTAAGATATTCAAATACTCTATAGTCTAGATCAATGGTTTTTAATCTTTTGTTTATCACGGAGCTCCTTTCAATATTTTAAAAACTTCGTGGACCCCTTGGGAGATGACGAACCTCCAGGGGTATGTGGACGACAGGTTAAGAACCACTGGTCCAGATAATGTTTTCCTAATACAAAAACAAAAAACACTTGCAACTTTTTTATTTATTCCAGCAGTAAATTAAAAACAAATTCCAAGGAACTTGTATAACTGACAAAATAAGGTTTAGTGTTATAATTTTTCCAAAGTGAAATAAAAAAAATATTTGTTATGCCTTTTTATTAATCAATACGGTAAGTCTGAGGTATTCTCTTAATACAGGGACTCTAAATAAATTATAAAAGTCTGATTGTAACTTATGGTGGTGGGAGAAGCAGTTCAGATAATCAAATTTCAGATAACTACAATTTTTCATTGTTCCGATTACTGGTTAGTTGGATAAAGGTACAGAAACTTCATAAATGATTACAAGCCACGTGGCCGCCGAGCTTAGGCAACCAACATTACATGCCAGGTTCTATCGGCTTAAAATCCCTTAGCATTACTAATATTAATGATTCGTTTACAATGAACGACAAACCATTACGTCTATGCTCGACATAATGCAATTGCTGATTGGTACAACAAATCTCATGAAAAATTATACCAATCACCAACTGGTGAAACAGAAAGTTGTGCTTTGATGTAATCTTAATCTTATTGTATTAATAGTTTTTAATTTTACCAAAGTAGAATTGCCAACATGAAGGATATAAAATTACCGTTTCAACAAAATTACTGGTCATGTGGTTTGTAATGATTTATGAAGGCTCTCTATATTCAGATGATAAAGTTGTAGATCATCGATGGTATTTTCGACTGTATCTTATCAAGTGAAACAACAGAAAATTTTAGATAATACTGTTAGGATTTCCCAAAATACTACTTAAGTATGTTTAGTGCTAACAGATATATAAAAATTATATATTAAAAAAATATGTTTAGTCTAAGAACATACCTGGATAGCTTCTCCTAAAAGAGCAGCTTGATGCATCAACTTTTTGGGTATGCAGCCAACATTTACACAAGTTCCACCTAAACCCCATTTTGTACCTTGGGGACTAGGCGTCACATAATCCAAAACAGCTACTTTTGCTCCCAGATTACTAGCCTCTTTTGCTGCTGCTAAGCCTCCAGACCCGCCACCAACAACAACCAAATCATATTCTGGTTCGCCTAAAAAGTTTTAGATCCTAGGTAATATTTGTTGAATAATGTAACTAATAATGTCTTTTGTTATTAACTTAATGTTATTGCTTAGGCTATTTGGCAATTCTTATCAGTTGTTCAAGCAGTACTTTTTCTAACTGCCAAACAACCACATGTTCTAACATACTATTAAATTGTTAAATATAAAGTAAAACATGCAAGACGAAAGTAGACTATTATTCCAGTTTCTAAAACGTAATGCAATATGGTACACTTTGAACCTATTATTTTGTTACCTCTATTCGAGATCCTAGCTATTATTGATGATATACCTACTAAATGATTTGATTTCAGTGGGAAGCTGACAAGACTCCTATAGTAGTGTAGCAAATACTTTATTAGAATGTTTCAATTTAATGACACATAATTAGAAGGTTAGGTAGCATTGCATCACATTTTAAAGGCATTTTTCAATGCCACATTTAAAATTACTTTCACTTACATTTTGTACTGAACCTGTGATAACTCCTAAGTTGATTATTTACCGTTTGACAAATAAAAAAATTCTTATTCTTGTATCTACAGACATTTCGAATTATGACATTTGTAAAACAAAAAACTGACGCCATTTGACTACAAGTATCACTAGACTACGGGTGTCCTTGATATATGTAGTTAACAACTTTAATAAAAAAATTGTGCTAACGTAAGCGTATAGTGAAAATCTAAAAATAAAATTTATAGTGAATTAACTAGAATGAAATCAATTTTAATAACTGGTTGTAATCGAGGTTTAGGGTTAGGACTGATAAAGTGTCTAGTGAAAGACATAAATTCCCCAAAAAACATTATTGCTACATGCCGGAACAAAAGTAAAGCACAGGTAAGCACATACACTTTAACTAAAACTGAACTTCAAAACTTACCTACTGGAGCCATTTGAATTTCTTATTTAAAATTAGATATAATTTAATACTCTCACACGACACAAAGTTCACAATTTAGCTGGTTTTTAGTCTGGCCTGCTGAAGTTCCTGTCACTACCACTACCTCTATTACTTGTTTTACGTTACTGTAAAAATGTAAACTGCTACTGCTACTTAAGGTTGGTCATTCGCGCCAGCGCGAAATTTGATTTGCTGTATTACTGGGTTTTCAATAATTTATGAACCAGCGTCCCCTTCCACTACTGTTAACTTGTACTTGTAGGTGTTATTCTGCGTTCTAGATTCTAGGTGATTCTGATATTTTTGCTAGTCATTCCGCCTGATTGTAAATCTACGTGTGTATATTTATCTATTCAGAATTAGGATATAAATTTATCAAATACGTCATACAAGTACAGGGATAGTTAATTGGTTACAAAAATAGATTAATGTATTGATCTTGAGTATTTTTATGTAAAAAGTAGTAATGCGATAGTAATGTAGCAACAGCAACCCCCAATACTGCACATTACAACACCACATCGAATATTATGATGACCATGACCATAATGTAATTTCAGTTAATTGTTACTTATGCCAAATGTTATTATTGTATTTTAGCGGACATTTTAAATGTTTCTGAATATCTATCTGAGTAATAAATAGATCAGGAGCAATCTTACAAATTTAATTATTTAAAACTTGTACTTACTGGTGTTTTCGGTCTCAGCTTCATTTTTTGAGTCAGAATGTTTCACTGGAGAAAAACAATAAGTATTCGTATTGTATTATTCAATAAAATATATTACTTACAAACATTCGCGTCTGATTGTGCATTCTTATCTGTGTGGTCAGGAGTAGGTGACACTAAAAAAAGGGGAATTTACTAGATATGTAGGTAGGTACTTTATATTTTTGTGAAAACATATTCAAGATTTCCTTTATTAGATTTGGACAAGATAATTAAATAGATGATTATCTATCTTCAGTTGCATCTTAAGACCATTTCAAGCGGATGCTAAACAGGCCAGCATTTTATAAGCAAAATGTAAAAATGTCAGTAAAAAATTTGAGATTGGAAATTCTTTCTTAATAAGTATAAATGCCGTCCGCTTATTAACCTGGTTTTTAGTAGAGCTAAAGAAATCTTCGAAACGGTCCTGCATTTAGAAATACCTATTATTTAAGGCAATGTTTTATTTTTGACATTTACCAGCATTATTGGCCTCACACCATGGACAAGGGTCTTTATTGCAGTGCTGTTTTTTATTTTTACTCATTTCTCGATTGATACTGGGACGAAAATTTTGTTGCAAATACCATAATTCCAAAAATATTGGAGGTAGTTTTTTGTTAAAATGACACTTTTAGTTAAACTAATGACAGATAATAACCCTATGCAATGTATGCCTTAGAAGTTAGACCTACCGGGCAATTGTAAATCAAGTAGCTATTGACTGCAAAAGGACTATTTGCAAATAAATTGGTAGTTCTAAATCGATATATATGTCATCAATTAGCATTATTATATAAAAAAATTGTTGGAGATTTTCTAGTATTTGTTCTTATTGTAGGTACTCCAGAAACTTGGACTGTATAGATTTTTTGCAAAAACAAATTATCTTAGCGGAACTTGAAGGTAGATTAAACTTAGCAAGTAAAGTGTTGCTTATAAAACCAATGGGAATGCAGTAGTTTATATACTGATAGAAACATCAAATAATAAAAATTTAATCTACGAGTACTAACTTCCAGATTTGTCTGTATCATTACTCCAGCAGACAAACCACTTTTTCTTGGTCATTCCTTCAGGATTAGGTACCTATAAAGCAGGTTCTACTTAAGAAAAAATTAACACCACTGCACTTTTCACCTCTTTAAACTTTTAATTTTCCGAGCTAAAAAATCCACTCTCTGAAAAGTATCTATCTAATTAATCTGTGACTGTGAGGTGAGAATTCGGCAATTCAGTTTATTGATATCATTTAGTACCTATAAGTTTTGACGGTACCTAATCTGATCTCATTTGTTACGTACGATTTATGATACTGTAACAGTATCTACTCGGTTATCAAATTATATTAAGTATAGGAGTTAACTATTTTGGCTAATGCTTTTCATTAGGATACAAGTTGGTTCTATTCTGGTACAGATGAGCTACCCCGTGTTATTGGCTGGCATTTTCAAAAAAATGTGCTATTGTCTAAAATAAAACAGGATTTCAGAAGCTACCATTAATTTTAAATAAAAAATATACTTTTATATTTTTTTATGAAAATGTATACTTAGTTTGAATGAGTATCAAATACTAAGTACATATCGACGCTTTAGTACGAAAACATGCTATCTCAGATTTCGGTTGGAAAACATGCTAACTCAGATCTCTAGGTAAAAATTGAATGATTGAAACCGTGCATTTATAATAAACTTATATAATATATTTTTAAAAAAGTAAGGAATGTTTATGTTCAGGTATACTGTTTATTTAATTTTTTTTATTCAACATTTTTCAATTAATTTTGTTAAGTTACTGTTATAAAAGACAAAATTGTTAATTAAAAAAAATAGAATATTATGCAGTATGCTGCAACACGTACATTACTCGACATTTTTTGAAATAACAAATTATAAAAAAATAGTGTATACCTTAATATATAAAGATGTTTGTTATTACTAAAAATTATTCGATTTTTTTCATACAAGTTTGCTTTATTGATATCAAAATTAATAGCGTCTGATTTATAGTCGGTTTCAATCATGCAATGTGCCAACTTAAATTTCTAGTTACACTGAGCATGTTTTACCTAAAGATTTGAGTTAGCATGTTTTCCAAGCTTAATTTGAGATAGCATGTTTTCCAACTGAAATTTGAGATAGCATGTTTTTCAACCGAAATCTGAGATAGCATGTTTTCGTACTAAAGCGTCGATATACACATATGAGTAAATAAATAAGGCTAATGAGCTAGTAGCAACGAACATGACTGAAAGGAACCATGAAAGTACAATTTCATTCGCCAACGAAATAACTGGCCGAGAAAGAACAATAACAAGACATTTGAGTTCAGAGGCATACGCTTTATTTTTTCACCTTGTATTCTCCGATTGATCGCGAAAAACTATATTTAACAAATAAAAATAAAGCTTTCTATGTATAAAAGTATGTCTAAATTGATTATACATATGTATAGACAAATATGTTTCAACTTTTCCGACACACTTGGTTCTCTTTAAAATTTATTCATTTAAAAAAAAAACTATCACACTTTTTGACGCAAAATTCAAATCTTGCCTTGGGCGCTCATAACCTTATCTACTACACTGGCATCAGCTACCCTTTCTTTTTAAAAATTCTGAAAGATAATTTTAGAAAATATTTAATAAGTTAAACAAATTAAGAAGACATGAAAAGTTTCAAATAACTAATTAATTGCTTAATAGTTTGATAACTGATATATCAGAATTAAAATTAGGTATTGTGTTATTCATTAAAATATTTCTTTCCATCATAAATTTTCTTAAACATTGAATAAATCAAGTTGGTTGTTTGTTACAAATAATAAAACTAAAGAAAAATTCATTTAACCATTTCCCTCTGCACAATCCCGAACATCATCTAATAGGTATTCCATGTACAATATCTGGGTCTGAAAGTACCTCCAGTTCTTGGATTTGATTTAAACTATCAAAAAATGTTGCCATATCTTGAGGTAAATAATCTTCAGAATGTAATGGAATGGACGGTTGCTAAGTGAAAGCACGTGCTCAGAAATATATAATAAATACTATTTAATTTAATTCGTGACTGGTATTGTAAATATGTATAAAATTTGTTGCTTCAAATCGCCTTGGGAAAAATTAAATATGTATGGAAACGGTCGATTATCTCCTAGAGTAAGATAGCTATCGAAAAATCATAAAACACAAATGTTTTAGGGTTTTTAAAAAATCTATTACAATAAAGAAAAATTAAGTATACAGGATCAGTTAAAAAGTCATGACAAAACAAAGTTGCTGTTTCTTTAACGAAACACCCTGTATGTTATTCCGTATTTACGTGTTAAAAATATCGAACACTCAAGATATGATGAAAACTGCTAAAATAGTAGAAATTTGCAAATATGTATCTTCAAAAGTATTGATCACAACCCTAATAATGCTTATAAGGCTTGAAAGAGAATCTCAATGTGTACAAGACAGATCAATAAAATACAGGGTGTTCCATTTAAGTTAAGAAAGTTATAGCTGTTTGACTTTGCCAAAATGTAACAGCGAAAATGAAACGCTTGGTATAATATTTTTGAATATAATAATACCAAAGCATTACTTCTAGGCATAGGGAACATTACACAAAACTACCCTAAAATTTTCCGTAGAATTCGAGAATTCAATAATATACAGGGTATCCCATTTAAAATAACGGAAGTTGGTGCTGACTTCCGGTATAACCGGAAGTGCTGCAGAATTCTAGATATTGTAGTTGTGTTCGTCCGAGGGACTTTGCCTCGGACTTTGCTATGTTGCCATAATTAGTAGTTTCTTAGATATCGATCGACGCAGTTTCCGGTGGGACACCCTGTATATAAACATAGGTCGTGGAACACCGTATGGCGTGTGCAATTCAGAGCACCTTGTATATACATAATACTAGATATATTTTACCTCATGTGTACATATACGAGATTAATATTAGTTATCTAATTTTGTGGTAAGTTTATTAAACATTATTCAACATTATCTTATGTTTATTCAGGAGTTTGATACCCATGAAAATCCTTTTCATCAGCCTACATTACACATTTTAAGAGATATTTAAATAAAAATAATATATTTTTTTAATATCAGCACTCAGTATTTCGAAACCGAAACGTTCTGAGACCTAGAGTTATACGAACAGTTTTTATTATTTTGAAGTATTCTGTCACCAAATAAAGTTTGGCGTGTGCAATCGGGACGCCCTGTATTATATATACAGTAATTAATTATATAATTATTTACAGTTTTAAATAAAAATGTATTTCACAAATGCTGAGTAACTGTATTCATTATTTCCTCTTGTATTTTTTACCCTATTATAAATTTTATGTTTGAATTGTCTTACTCAATGTTGTTTTTATTTCAGGAATTAAATGATATTGCAGCACAAAATAAAAATGTGCACATTTTGGAATTAGGTAAATATATTTTGTTATTATTAAATATAATTTTATTTAAAATACATTTAATTTGATTTTATGTTGGTTTTATCATAAACTGATCTATTGATTAAATTTTCAATATATGTACTGTTCACTTTCTTATATGAATCAGTAAATGATATATATTTGAGCGAATAATAAATTTATCTAACACTTAGAAAAATCTATCCTAATTTAAAAACGAAAAATTTCCCTCGTTTAGCTTTCAGTATCATCTAGGTGTTTTAGTAAAAATAAGTAAAAAAAATGTAATGCCGAAAACTCTTCTTTTTCGAGATATAGGATGTTAAAGATTCCAAAAAATATATTTGATATCATTAGACAGCAGTTTACTTATATGTCCTTAACTAATAACCATTAACAAGATTTTGAGGTGAACTTATAAAGTGAATTTATCATGAAACGGTAGCAAATATGAAAAAAACCTGAGAGACAATTTTTGACCAGGATAAATTGTTCCACTCTAAAATGATATCAATAATCATTATTTTACAGATGGTAATTAGTCCAATTAACTAAGCCTTTAAATCGAAATTTTGTCAACTTGGCTGAATTTTTGATATGAGTTAGTTTAAGGTATATTATAACCATAAGTGAGAGTAATTTTTTGTTCAACCCCCGGCCAAGGGTGGAAAAAGATAAAACAAAGGGCTTTTTCAAGATAACTTAAAAAGGGTAAGAGCTAGAAAAAAAATTATATATATTTTTTAATTTTTAATAAGAAAGTTATAACAAAAAATCAAATTTTTAATCGTTAATTTTAATGATTTAACAAAATTAAATTTCTGAAATCTTCCCTTAACTTCTAGCCTCCCTAACTCTGTTAATTGTAATAGTACAAAAAAAAGTTAAGAGGCCATTTTTATGTAGAATTGTCTGCTTTACAACTTTCATGAAAAACTTATAATCTTATCTTATTGAGTTGAGGTGAAAAAGCCCTTTGTTTTATCTTTTTCCACCCTTGGCCGGGGGTTGAACAAAAAATTACTTTCACTTATTGTTATAATATACCTTAAACTAACTCATATAAAAAATTCAGCCAAGTTGGCAAAATTTCGATTTAAAGGCTTAGTTAATTGGACTAAATACTTTATTTGTCGAATCAATTGGACTGCCTACCCTTATTTCCTTATCTGGTAATTCTTGGTTCTGAGACATGTCATCACATCAAGTTTTAGATATTAAAAAATATTATTATTTTTTGGAATACTTAATTTAGAATCTGTATCTAGAAGCTAGAAACGAATAAAATCATCTTCAAACATGTCATTCCCTGTGTCAGTGGCTTATTATAAAATGTTTATTTTTAAAATTTTTAGGTATACACACACGTATGAAAATAATTAATGAAATAAACTCTTTTTTTTTAATGATTGTCCTAACTAAAAATCTTACACTGAAAAATTGAATCAAATGGAATATAGAAAATACACAAAAATGTTAAAATAATTTTAAATCGTAACGTCGTTGTTGACTATTGACAAAGAAAACAGATTAATTTTCGAAACGTCAAGTCTTATTGAAGTGCATGCTATAGTGTATTTTGTATTTATCTGCTTTTTTCAGTGTGGTTAAGTAAAACTATTTACATAAAAGATAACCCTTGACTGATCCTTTTGGAACAAACGTTTTAGTTCATTAATTTCTTTCACGGAACGGATGGCAAAATAGCCAATAGTTAAGAAACACCGAAAACTATGCCATAAATAAATAACTTTAGACAATACCTTTTGACAAAAAATTTTTTTTTTAATTTGAATTACACTTTTAAATTATTGTGCAGTAGAGAAGAACTATCTACTTTCTAAGGTAATTTACTTAATGTTCAGAAAGACAGAAATAAGCGTACCGAAGCATTTCTTCTCTAGTTTAATATATACATGTCTGCATGTCGCTCATATGATGAAAACAACTCAAAAAACTCCTGTTGTTCTCCTTTATTTACTCCTCAGACTTTCATCTGGTGCGTTTGGTTGGACCCTTAAGGGATCTTAGTGGGAATACCTTTTCATTTCAGTGGAAAATGTCATGAAATTTATTTCTATGGAATTACAAAAGCTATCTAGACATTGGCGTCGGCCAGTGCATTCAAAAAACAGAAATATTAAAACAGCATTGTACACTTTACTTTTTTTCTGTCAATTTGTTATCAATTAATAAATTACAATTTATAAATTTGAACGTCCCTCGTACACCATTCCCTTATCTGTTGCTCCTGAATCAACACAGTATTACTAATTAAAAAAAAAAGATAATTTCGATAGAAATACATTTCTTAAGAAAAAATTTATAAATTTCACCCATAACGTACTACAAGTCAGATTTGTGAAATTTCAATATTACGTTACATTCGGTAATACTATGTTGTAAGAACAGTGACAGAACGCGAAGGCCATTAAGCAAGGGATGTGTTGTAGAAAAAACGCGATAAAATGTCAAGAGCTTTATCCCAATTACTTTTTAGATGTAACGAACACAAACACTTTCGATTCTTTCGCCTGTGAGATTGAGAAAATTGTGGCGGATAATGGCCTCAATGTCTTGTTTAATAACGCAGGCTATTCGCCAAAATCTACTAGAATAAATGCAGTTAAAACAGAACAGATGATGGAAACTTATGCAGTGAATGTGGTAGGCCCGCTAATGTTAACCAAGGTCAGTTGGACGAATTTTGAATGACATTTTTCTAAAGGAGCGCTCTCACGATTTGATGATGGTTGATCAATTTGAAGTTGAAATGAAAGTTGGACGAAATTTAACTTTATTTATTCAATTATCGCACAACTAGCTATCAAGTAGCGATTATTAGTAGGTAATAGCATAATAAGCATAAAGGAAATTATTGAAAATCTTTCGACACGCAAAAATTCAAGTATCTCTTCAAGTTAACCCAGATCAGAAACATAATTTTTATAATCAAAACATTAAATTGCGGGATTAGTCATTTAAATATCGATAAACTGTGTATTCCACTAGAACAAATGTGAATTCTTTTTGGGTTCATTTTAAGGCTACTAATGAAAACTCAAGTTCTCAAGCACTACTTGCAACCTATCTGATCTTTTCATGCACTCGTAAACATATCTATCTTTTTTAATTACCTGATAGTATTGGTTTAGTCCACCTGTGCAAGGCTTATTGTTAGTGACGTATCTTATAACTTAGGTTAAGTGGTTTGTTTCTTTTTTATATTTTACAATTGCATTTGAACAAAGAAAAATGCTGAGTTTATAAAATTGCCATTTGAGGGATGTTTCCAGAGTTTAGAAGAATTCAGAATTACTTCTTTTATCAAACACAATAAAAAAATTCATTTTGCTGTCTATACTGAAATATTAATATAATATAATATTACTAAAGTGTACCTTGATGTAACAGCGATTCACGAGAAAAAACAAACCTGTTTGAACTTTCAGTGAATCACGCGGCTAAAACCAGAGACACAGATTTTGCAAATATGGTGATTCAGAACTTATCCAAAAAAAAAATTAATGTACAGTGGACTCGTACAATACAATTTTATAAAAAAAAAAACAAAAAGAGCAGTTCGAAAATGATTTAAAAATACACTTCTGTACGGCACTGGAAACTGGTCCACTGTAAAACCTGACCTTGCTCAAGGTAATGCATGCAGTCGGCGACCGGTACGGCGGCAAAGTGTGATAAAAAATGAACGGACAAAGAATTGAAAGAATTTCTCTCTCAAAGAAAAAATAAATAAAATATTTTATAACACCTATTTCATATAAGCAAATTCAACTGCTTTTGCCGCTTTTGTTATTATTAATTAATAAAATTAATTTATGGTTTTAAATAATAATATAATTTGACATACCTGATGTTACAACTATTCAAAATTTTGTCCATCGACGTGTAAACACATTTGGGACTGTCTTATCCAGTTTCTACGAACTAACACAAATGTTGTCTTGCTTCACCATACATTAAAATGATATCCATCAATTCCGAGTTGTTATACACGTAAGCCATTTTTGACATTTGAAAAACTAACACATGTAAACGCAATCACAAAATCGTCTGAGGTCATGTGGAGAGAGAGTGCATTGCACATAGCGCACAACACGAATGACGCTAGAGACTACAGTAGTCCAGCGATGTAAGGGTTGAAAACTTCAATAATTTTTTTCTCGGAAACTATAAGAATTTTACAAATTTTTTTTTTACGATATTGTCTCCATTTTTCATGACGCATCTATTCCCAAATTTTTTGGATAAGTTGTAAGTCACCATATATTTATATCTATAGGAGACAGATTGCTGTTAGTTGTTCTTTTCATGTGTAACACCACAACACTATTCACTATTTCGAAGAATTTTTTTTTTAAATACAAGTCTTGAGGCCAAATAAAATGGATGAATTATTATTACCAGAATGTTAGAAAGTATCTAGTGTTGAATAACAAAATAATTAGTATGTATGTATTAAAAAAATATGTGGAAAATAGTAGCTTGCAATTTTTCCTGCTATGTGGCTTACGTCAAAGTTCATGATGTGACAACAACGTGTTTGGCTTTTATTTATTAGCTATGTTTTTGTGATTGATGTTTCTAATGACGCATGGCCTTCTGCGACCTTTTTTTCTGAAAGGATAAAATCACATCAATCATCACTTACTCCAATATGTCAAATTTATGAAATAAAATATTAAAATTTGATATTTATTAAGTTTCTGCTTAAATTTAAAAACCTAGAAATCATTGGAATTTCCCGGAGTTGAAAAAATAACCAATTATTTGCGCTACTAATTAGGTATAACTGGTAATAATAGTCTGGTCATCAGCCTCAAATTATAAAAATTTTAGATCCTGCAAATGTGAAAATAACTTTTTGTTTTTATGTAAAACTTAGATATTTGTTAAAATATTTTTTTTAGTTATAACTTACGACAATTTGTATTAAATTTCCCCGCATTTTTTCGTAATGAGTGTTTGTATTTTAAATATATGGATTCACTTGAATTCATTTACCATCAGAATTACATGAATTTTCCAAACTCGCTCTGTACTCGTGAATTCAATTAAATAGTGAGCCGAATTCTCCAAAAACTATTCAGCACTCGGCATACACAATATTTTTTAATAATTACTCCCTCGCATGAAATAATTAAATTTTTTTAAGTCACAAAACAGTCATTCAAAACCTGTAGACATAGAAAAGAATTTTCTTAAGGATTTTATCGTAATATTTCAAAATCGGTTTTAGTTATAATAGCAATACCTATTTAGTTTAATAATGTAAGTTATATTTGCAAACAGGAATGTTAAAAATTGAATAAAATATAAGAACAAAAGGCAAATAAACAATTTGAATCTAATTGTATAACGCTGACAACAATAAATTGAATCGTGAGATCGCTCCTTAATATAGCAAATGACGAAGTTTTACGTTTCTTTGTTTACGAGAAAAACAAAGGAAAAGTAAAGAAATATTCTTCTATTACAAAAAACTAGTAGTGTCAAAAAAAGTTTATAAACAGAAATCTTGATGTTTTTTAAGTAACGTTTAAGATTATTTATAAGTAGTGCAAATATTTATTAGGTACTATTAGTTAATGAAAAGGTAATAAATTGATTTGTTAAAAACGTGTTATTTTTACATTAGTCATTTATTACTCATTTTTACCATTTCATAGTGATTATTAATTGTTTATATTTACATTTAAAAGATATAGTTAGATTTATTTAATAATCACATTTGATGAATTTCTTTGGATTTTACTTCTGTCATTCATATGGTTAGACATATATTCTCTATTCAGTGGAAACTGTAGATAGCAATGATAATTTTTAATCATAGGCATTTTGATAATTGTTGTTCATCTTCAGGTAAACAATAAAACTGAAGATAAACTGTTGGTTGTTCTTAAGACTGAATTTGTTAAACCTACTGAAGTAGATTATATCATGTGAATATATTATAAGAGTATCATATATGATATGATATTCAATAATAAAGTAATTCAATTACTGAATATTTCTTTAAATATTTTTTCCAAATTATTACATAATAATGTTCCTTAAGGTAATAGATGATTTTTTACTATTATTGCAGGTACTTTTGCCTTTATTAAAGAGAGCAGCAGATGTCAACCAAAATCAAACCTTCGGCAGTTCGAGATCTGCGGTAATAAATATGTCCTCCGTGTTAGGATCTATAGGGTTAAATGATATTGGTGGTGTGTATCCTTATAGGTGTTCTAAGGTAACTAATACATGCATTAGTTTTATTTCCATTAGTGTTAAAAAAGCAATGGGCCAAAAATATACTATAGAAGTGAGAGTTTCCAATAGTAAATTTCATCTACGAGGTATGTTCAGAAAATAATCGAACGTGTTGAAATACGCGTTAATGGAGATATTTAGTGATATGCGGTTGGTAATAAATACTGCGTTGCGCATAACTTTCTCTGTAACCACATGTTCTTGGATTGTTGATATCTCATTTAGTTTTCATGATATTATTATTTGAATGCAACGACGCATTTAAGTGTTAGTGACGATCTTTGAAATGTGCGATTTTCTGGAACGATGCAATGTAAAATTTTATGTGAAATTGGGGAAAACTTTTATGGAAACGTTTCAACTTTTGAAACAAGCTTACGGAGATGATGTTCTGGGTCGTATGCAATGTTACGAATGGTTTTCACGATTTAAAAGTGGTCGTTCCTTAATTGAAGATTATCGACCAGGAAGGCTTCGACCTCATCTGATGACTTCCACGTTCAGAAAGTCAAAGATCTGGTGTATGCAAATCTTCGATTGACTCTCAGAGAAATTACATACAGAAGAGGTTAGCATCTCAATTTGGTCATGCCATGAAATTTTGATAGAAAAATTGAACATGCAAAGTTTGTTTGTCGTCTGATTACCGAACAGAAACAAAATCATGTGGACTTTTGTCTGTAACTTCTTAAACAATTCAATGACGATGAAACATTCATTGAAAGCATCATAATGGTGAGACGAAAGCTGAGTTTACGGCTACGACATTAACATAAAAATTCATACATCACAATGGATTAGCACGCCCAGGAAAGCCGTCAGTTTCGATCCAATGTCAAAGTGACCTCACTGTTTTTCCGACATTAATGGAATTGTGCATTTTGAATTCTTGACTCAAGGTGAAACAGTGAATCATGTGTACTATCAACACGTTTTACAACGGTTACGTGACAAAATTCGCAAAAAGAGACCTCCTTCACCGTCCTTACTCGCCAGGCCCGGCTCATAGCGATTTTCTCTTATTTCCGAAGGCCATTTCAAATGAAGGTATCCAGAACTGCTTTGTGAAATGAAAACACCGCTGGGGAAAAGTATGTGAATAGGCGAGTTGTACTTTGAAGGGGATAAGGACCAATAATGTATAAAATTAATAATAAAGTTTTTAAAAATAAAGTTCGGTTATTTTCTGAACAGACGTCGTAAGTATTGAGAAACTTTTCCATTTTGATCGAATTAGGTTATCATACCAAATGTAATAAGAAAAATATACTTATGAGCCAATTACTTAGAATCGAGTTGAAAGCTGCATATTTTATTCATATACTTATTTTTGATGTGGTGTCATACCGATCGATTAACTGATTAACACGAGAAATGCATACTCGACACGCAAGTTTAGTGGAGTTTAAAAGAAGTTTTTTAATTTATTTGTACACATTATGCTGATGACATGACACAAGGATATTTTCAAAGTCCAGATCAGATCAGATCACACTTTGAATCACTAAACCAAATAACCCTAATGAATCAATAGTCAGGATACTGAAATATAAAATGTAAAATACAGGGTGCGGCAAAACAGACAGTGCAGTTTTGAAGGGCTATTAAAAAAAACGAAGCAACTTCGAAATATGGGGTTTATTTTATTCTATTGGTTACATCATACATTTTTATGTCTCAAGTCTTAAAAATGATATCAGAAAGATAGCGGCCCCTAGCAGCGATGCATTGATGATGGCGATGTTCGGCCGCATTTTGGCACATCTCGACGGGTATGAGGCCGATGTCTAAAAACTGTTTCCTTTACCCCACAGGAAGAAGTCGCAAATGCTCAAATCAGGTGCGCAGGGAACATCTGTCGCACTTTGGTCATTGAAACGTGAGCAGTATGGGCCGTAGCTCCGTACTGTTGAAACCAGATGTCTCCCAGATTCCTCTTTCAGTTCTTCCAATTGAGGTTCCAACATGAAAAGATAACGTTGAGCATTGACTGTCACGGTTTGTTCATTCTCCTCAAAAAAATAAGGTCCAATCACCCAAATTTGGAAACAGCATACCACACGGTCACTTTTGGGGAGTTAAGAGGTCGCTCGTAAAATTTCCTTGGGTTATTTTCTGTCTAGTACCGAAAATGTTGCTTGTTGACCGCTCGACAGAGCTGGAAGTGGGCCCGCAACTACTGAAAAGAGTTGACCTCGCGTGGATCCGATTCAACATTTCTTGATAGCTATTTATGCGGTTGTCATAGTCCAGGGGATTCAATTTTTGAAGAATCATATTCTTGTAAGGGTGGAATGACAAATCTGTGCAAAATCCTATTTAGAGAGTGGTCAGCAATGTCCAATGCATGCTTCCTGGCAGAGCGTGTAGGTGGCCGTTCGATAGATTCTCTTACTTTCCTTAAATTTTCTGGTGTTCTTGTCGTTTTGGGTCTTCCTAAGCCCCTAGGTCTTAGTGTGGAACCAGTTTCTTCCAATGAACGCACCCAACTCGCCATTAAATTACGGTGAGGAACGGGATCACGTCGCCTAAGATTAAAGTGCCGCCGGAAGACCCGCTAGGTGGCGACGGAAGAGCGGCCATTTTTAAAAAACGAGCGGACGGCAAAGCCCCGATGTTCTCCAAACCAAACCATGGTAACGACTGAAACGGCACGATCTACTCCATATGAGTCACTAAATAAGAGTGTTTATTTCCTTGTCTTTCATTGGAAGCATCACTTGCTCCAGACGCAACTGGCGCCATCTTACATCCGGCCTGTGAACAAATAGCAGCTGGAACACAAAACAGAAACTGCACTGACCATGCTAGCCGTCTTTAGTTTGAGAATGTAGTTCAAAAACTATGCAATAGATGTCGCTTTATTACGCTGCACTTGGCGGCAAATTTAAATATACCATAATATTCAGAGTGCAACTTATATATGGAATAAAATTCATATTCATTGACTACAAAGCTTTGTAAAAAAATATCAGTTCTAATGTAAAAATTGACCAATTTCTTTACAAAATTATGTAGTCAATGACTTATGAATTTCATTTCATGTAAGCTACACACAATAATGGTATAAAAGATTGACTTTTTTAGTAGGTATATCCATTAAGAGGCTATTATTGTTTTCACTTTTTAAACAATGACTAAAAAATGCATAAGCAGTTGTTTTTTAAATGCATGTACTTAAATTTATTCTGTTATAAATATGAAAAGAAGATAATTACTAGTAATTAATAGTGATTACTGTGATACAAAATAGACATATACTTACCTTTCCCCTCTTTATGAAAAATATTGTTAGATACATTTGTTTCAAACTATATTGGTTCTCATCAGTACGATGCATGTACTACTGATTATTCTTTTCTGCGAAAATTTAAATACTGATAGTATGAGTAACAAATATCAGTAGAAACGTAGACATATGTATCTACCATTACTTAAAAAGAAACTTAATATTCATTAAAAAATCCAAAAATCCGTTTTTTGTTGTCTACTATTCGACATACAAGTGAAGTTTTGACAAAATGAAGTATTATGTGAAGTACTTACACAACCAGTATTTGAATCTACTTCATCCGGCACCTAGATAAATGATGATCCGGCATGGTATCGTTAACAATAACAGTACTAGTACTTGCAGTGGTATTTAGAGATGGCAATTTGGAATAAGTGTATTTTGGTTTTTTAAATGGTGGTTCTGGAAAATCATCTAACATTGATGTTTGGCATTTATTAATTTCGGCATTTTCTAATGTTTCACTAACAAACTGTTTAACTGACTCTGGAGTAGTTTTCAAGTAAACGTTACTATTAAGAGAATCTAAATGTGATGATATACTATTTGATTCACTAAATATTGTTGGCACTGCATTTTTGTTGAGGCTATTCTTCCTACTATTTCTAAAACATTTTAATTCAAAGTGGTCTTCGCAAAAATAACATTTTTCGTTGATGAAGTTAAAATCTGGTTTACATTCTATCCAAATCATTTTCCTGTCTGCACTTTGCAGTAACTCTGAAAAAGCTTTTATTTCTGTAAGAAGTATCTGTGGTATATAAATAATATGTATTCTTGCATTTTGGTGCACAACAGTAACGTAAGATAATTCCAGACATTTTCTATTAAAAAGTAAAACAAGCAAAAGCAGTAAGACAATTCAGATGAACGATTCAACAATTGTAATTATCTTCTTGCGTTACATTAAATTTTAGTCTAAAATAGAAAACAATTATTATTAAAAGCACGGTAAATTACGAGTTAATTAGTCATAATACAACCACTTTCTAATCTGTGAATACAACATAGAGAAGAAATAACCTCAAACCTAATCCACAGAACACATCCCCTTTGTGACCTAATTTTCAATACACGTATTCTTTCGTATTGAACAAAGTGATTGAAATCAACAGTAAAGAACCAATCATGATTAAGAATTTTAAAAATGCTGTATTATGATTGGCTAGTTACCGATTGCAACCAGTTTGTTCAGCTTCCGCACGAAAGAATACATGTAATATCACCAAATTTTTAATTTTTTCAGCGAACTCTATAGGTTCTAATAACAATATTACTTTTCTGTTCAAGTTAGTATTACAGTTTTTGATACATAAATAGTGCTAAAGATGGCGTGTTTTCCAGGCCCATTGTGAGGTGGCGCATGATTCTTTATTTAGTCATATGACCTACCCGAGGCGACAAGACCCCTTCCAGGTTCTTACCCCCACCACACGATATGTACAGCCGCTTCAAAACTGCACTGTCTGTTTTACCGCACACTGTATATATCGCATTTATTTAAAAATCTGAAAAAAAGTCATTAGCGTAGATATTTTAATTTTTTTTTTGGAGCTGAAAGTTCAAAAAGAAATGTAAATATTTTGATTTCTTTTGGTGCCATAACTTCACACTATTCTTCGGAAATTTTTTAGAATTTTGATTGGTTAATTACATACTATTTTGTATTTGTGTTTATTATATAAGAAATAGACTCTGTTATGTTAGGATTACACAGAGCCTTGATAAATGTTTATAAGCCACGTGACCGCAAAACTTAGGCACCAACATTGCAGGGCTTATACTGTCAGCTAAAAATTCCTAATTCTTGGCGTCACCAATATTAATTATTCATTTGCAATGGACAATGACAAACCGTTACGTCTACGTTCGAGAAAATGCCATCACTGATTGGTTCAATGGAATTTTGTGAAAAATTACACGAATTACAGCTGGTAAAGAAGAACGCTGCGTTTTAATGTAATCTTGATCTTATTGTTTTAATAATGTTTAATTTTACCGAAATTTAATAAACAACGTGAAGAAAATAAAATTACTGTTTCAGACAAAAGTACTGTCACGTGGCTTGTAATCATTTATGAAGGCTCTGTGTATCTGTAGGATAAATTTATTTAAAGGAAAATAATAATTTGAAAAAGGAAATTAGGAACTAATAACTGCACTCATTCAATTTACAAAATACGGTGACTATAAACTCTTTATTTCCTTATTTTAGTCTAAAATCTCCCGAAGTTAAGACATGGATTTCAAAAACTCTGCATATTCAATTTTAGGCTGCTATCAACATGGCTACAAAATCACTAAGTATCGATCTAAAAAAAGATGGAATATTAGTAGCTTGCATTCATCCCGGCTGGGTAAAAACAGATATGGGAGGTTCTAACGCACCAATGGACGTGGAGACCAGTGCCACCGGCATGATTCAAATTATCCGGAATTTGTCAGAAACCCATAATGGAGGCTTTTATCAATGGGATGGAAAGCAGTTGGAATGGTAAAAGTAAGAACACAACAAACTTCTTTATGAACATAATAAATATTTTATCTTATTGTTTGATTAGTTTAATCCTGCACATATTACTGTCTATATAGAGCCTGTAAAGATCAGATACCAGAGGTTGGAAGATATAGAGGTAACAAAGACTGCAAAGGCTGCTGCATTCCGCAACTGTGTGACTTGGGTGGGAGAATTTTAAAACTCATGTATAACTTAACTGCACAACTGAACTGTACAACTACAAAATAGCGTAGCGGGTGGTGGGTGTGAGAAGTGGAAAATTCGCAGCAAATAGTCAAATAGTCCCTCTTAAAATCACCTGTAAAATTCCTTAATTTTAACGAGACATTTACAACATCAATTGACTTTTGCATTTATTTATTTGTTACAATCTGTGGACGTAGCTAGGGGCAGGGCCGTCTCTAAGGTTTCGGCCGCCCTTGGCTAACTATCTTCACCACCACCAAATCTAAAATAAAACACAGTTCTAACACCTACAAATCCAAAATATTAAACTTTAAGGACCGAAGATAAAACTACTGAGCCAAGATGCATAATCATTTAATAAATCTCAAGATTTACTTAGAATTTATATAATTTACAGGCCTAAAACTAAAAAAAAGTTGTTCTGTTTATTATGTAGGTATTCGCAAAGCGCAATGCATGTAGGCACAATGGATCCTGTCATGTCTTATTTATTAGTTTATACCTTATTTTTTGAGAAAACGCAAAGACGCCGGACGCCACACGTGTATGTCAGATGTTGACCATAAATAAGGGATTTTTATTCATTCACGAACAAATTTGAGTGATGTTCAGGTCAATGCCAATAAAATAACTTTTTTACTGTTTACGTTTACCTCGAAATCTGTTCTCTTACGAGATAAGGAGATATTTTATATTTTATTTGTGATTGTACTGATTGTAGTATAAATAAATTTAGAATTAAAGTAAAACATAAAATTTTGTTTGTAGGTTGAAGTTTGAATTACGAATATATTTTGCAATAATTATAAATCATTTGGCTAAATTTCAATGTTTATAAAACCTACATATATGTACAGGGTGATCCCGAATAATGTGCAAAAAATTTGAGGGTCAATTGTTTAAACACTTTTAATAGGGGTCCTTCATATAAAATTTTTTGATTTAAGGCCCCCTAGAGGAGTTACGACCCCTTAAATGGGGTGAAATATGTAGTTTTATTTATTTATTTCCAAACAGTTTGAAATTTAGAAAGTGAAATTTGTCATGATATGTAGGCTGATAAAACTTCTTCTAGACAAGTATTTTTTTATTGTCCTCGTCCTATTATAAGACGTTGAAATGAACTACCCCCTGCACATTTTTTATTAGATTCTTTTTTAAGTATATTTTTTCGATAAAAAAACTTTTGAACGCTTATTAGGAATATTCTTGCCTCTTTGAATTTTTTGTCATCTAGTAGAAAATTATGGGAAACTACTAGATGTGCAAAATCAAATGAGATTGAAAAGAAGACTATATGCGTGTATAATCCTGAACTTAATTTTTTTACTCAAAACCTGTAATAGGTAGGTACTTATCAAAAAATTCAAAGAGGCAAAAAAATTGTAAATATAATAGGCGTTCAAAAATTTTTTTTTTTTAAGAGAAAAAATTTACTCCAAAAAGATATAATGAAAAATGTGCGCAAATGATAGTTCATTTCAACGTCTTATAATAGGACGAGGACAATAAAAATTACTTGTTTAGAAGAAACTTTACCCGCTTAAGTATTGCCAAATTTCAGTTCTTAATTTCAAACCGTTTCGAAAAAATTAAATAAAATTTTACATTTTCACCCCCTTTTAAGGCTACTGGCCCCTTGCTAAATAAGAATAATAAAAGTTTTTAAAGCTACGTGCACTTACTTATCGTAATAAAAGTTATAATTCCTCACATGCCAAATAAACAGTGTAATAAACATCTATTCAGTGTGAGCGAGACAGAGACACTGAGAGTGAGATGAGAACTGAGAGCTAAGATGCACATTATGTGCATCTTAGCATTAAACACTGGCACTGGCCGCCCGGCGCAGCGGCGCGGCAGTTGACTTTAACACGTACATTACCACGAGTTGTATTTGGCTGCCCTCCAAAAAATGCCCGCCCGGGCGCTTAACACGTTAAGCGCCAAAGAAAATTTTGATATAGTCATCACTGGGCCATTACTATATCCTTATGGTGCCTTTCAAACTAAGCCTTTATCAATAATTTTTACAAATGAAGTCTCTGCTGCAAAATTTTCAAAAATATAAAACAGGCACCGGTGTCTGCACTCGCTAGGCCAAAGCAGACACATCATGATCTATCACAGGGCCAAAACAGACACATTTAGCAGACGCATAATTGTTAGCAGACACGTCCGAACCTACATTTTCTGCAGTTGCAGTGCAAAAAGCGCCATAATGAGTAGCAGATCGAAACGACTAGTACAATTAGCTAGGGAACAACGCAGCCCAGATTCTGTTTGGATTGCGTCAATGAAGCACATAATATTACCTAATAATATTAGTATAAGTAAATATTATTTACTTTGTTTTGTTTACTTTACCATTTTTATTTTTGTCGTTTCTAAATGGAAGATCATCAACATGCGTTGAGTTTCTTTCGTCGATTTCGTTTGAATGTATGTTTATTTTTTGAAATAAATGAGTTATAGAATCACTCTATTTTATTTTGGTAATTACATCACTGTGTCTGCTATGGCCCTGTCATAGAACCCCAAAAAAAGCAAATCATCAGTGGGCAAAAGCAGACACAAAAACAGACACATGTCATAAAATCCTACACAACGCGCTTAGGCCTGCCCACGTATAGGGATATTTGCGGATGGGCCGGTGCAGACACTCCACCATAGGAATTGTAGATTGAAAGTGCCTGTTCGGCACATTTGGACAAATACTGAAACAGACACCCATGTCTGCGCTGGCCCAGTGATTAAAATAATGAACAGACACCGGTGTCTGCCATGGCGCTTAATGTGTTAAGACGGCCCTGGCTAGGGGGGGGGGGCAGGGGTGTGCATGGCCCACCCCAGAAGGCCCGGTCCCCACAAACTTAAAAACATCGCCACCCAAAAGTAGGGATCCATCACATCAAATTTTGCAATAAACTTAAAAAAATTCGATATATGGCCGACATTTTACGAGAAATAAGTTGAACTCGAAATTTCAACATGAGATTTCCCAAAGACGAAAAATGTTATCGGGATAAATCCAAGTGCGTTTTAAAGAGTTTAAGACCCCATTAATGGTTTCAGCAAAAATATTCGATGTAACATAACCTCAAATATGTCAAAATATAGCGATTTTGACACTTTTAGGTTAGGATATCTCGAATATCAGAGTCAACTGAGAAATTTGGATCTCGGACTCGAATTCAGCGCACCAGAATCCTTTGGAAAAGTATATTCGTGCTGTTTTGTTAAAATCTTGTTGGCGTGTGTTATAGAGAATATTAACGATTCCACTTTTATGCAAGAGAAGAAATATTTACAGATGATTATTATTTATTATTAGTCAATATTATAATAATTATTTCAGTCGGTTAGTTAAAGACTTGTATTTTAAAAAAATATGCTTTAGTTATGATATAGTTTCAGTCTTGCTTTCTAAAAAATTTCAAACCACTATGAACTCTTAACTGTAAATATTATACGTTTCTTATTTGAGCTTGATGAAATTTAAAACACTATGTGTAATTAATGAAAAGTGTTTTAAAAAGTACATTTTTCATCATAATTATTTTTAAGTAAAAAAATATACTTATTTTTTAAATAAGTATATTTCTAACTAGTTTTCAGATCTGTTATTTATCACTATCCGTATCATATATCATTAATAAGCATCTTCTCTTCATCTTTTATCAAACAGTGTACTCTCATATAGATATGTCTTATCTGTAACGAAACAATGACAATATATATTTTTGGAATTTAATTTTCTAAAAGAATTTCTTCATTTCATGCTATGATAAATATAAATATCGATTCACTTGGAAAACATGTTTTTATAAAAGTGTTGTTTCATCCGCAGTTTTGAAATTAATTGGATATAGTTATTATAATCTAAAATTTGATTTATGGATAGAAAATAGTCTTCTTTAAAACTATGGTTAAATAATAGGGAATAAAATAAATACATAAACATATCATTTGTTGAAAACGTGACATATAAATGTATTTACACATTGTCAAACTGTATTTTTTTTAATTCTCACTCCTTACAAAGTTACAGGGTAGTTTTAATTTCAAAACGCCGAATTTATAGTTATTAAACCTAAATTGTTAAAATAATTATGTACAGGATGTCTCAAACTCGATAGTATGGGCCTACTGTGAGGATGCAAAAAAATTAAATAAAATTTGGGACACGTGGTGTTAAATGGGATGAGGTAAATTCCATTTTCAATCGAAAGTACAATCTTTGGGATTTGACAGAAACGACTAATGACGTCATCAATTTTTTTTTTCCAGAAACACCCAATTATTTTCCTGTTAAAAAGCTTCTAATAAACTTTTATTAGAGACATTTTTCTGTATTACTTGCCGTTTAAAAGTTATAGGCAATATAATCCTAAAGAGTCTCAAAAGAAATATGTACCCCCTAAAAATCATATTAGCGGTTATACTCTGTTTGGAAATGAAAGAGAGTAATAAAACCCCGAGATAAGAACCGGCCATGGGCGTGGTAATATTTCGTTTCAGGTAATTATCGGGTAACACTAACGCTAACAAAAATGACAGGGATTGGAAAATCGACTATCTACAGACTTTTAAAGGAAACAAAAAATGAACAAGATACTGTAAATCCCCCAAAATCATCTACAGGGAGGTCAAAAGTCGTTATAGATGATTTCTTCAAAAATGTCATTCGCAGAAAAGTACACTCATTTTATTTTAAAAAAGAAATACCAACGCTAAACAAAATTTTAAGTGAACTTTCAGAGGACAACGATTTGCCAAAAATCAGTAGAAGCAAATTATGGGCCGTCTTACGAGAGTTGAATTTTTGCTGGGAAAAGCAGAACAGGAAGTCAGTTCTTATCGATAAAGATGAAATTATTTGTTGGCGAAGATCCTACTTAAGATCAATTAGAAAATTCCGTGACGAAGGGAGGAATATTTATTATCTAGACGAAACTTGGGTCAACGAGGGATATACTGTAACAAAAGTATGGCAAGATAAAAATGTAAAAAGTTTTCGACAAGCATTTTTGGATGGACTTTCAACAGGGTTCAAGGCACCTTCAGGTAAAGGGCGAAGATTAATAGTGACACATATAGGT